TGGAGGCCGAGCAAGGAATGATCATACCAAAGCAAGACCAAACCAGTAAGGAAAAAGTCAGATCCTCCAAGTTTATGTCTGGGAAGAGAGTAACTCCCAAAAAGTCCTCTGATCTTCACCTGCGTGCTATGGCATACATACACACACACATACATACATACATACACACATACATACATATATATGTCACACATACCATACATACACATACCATAAGTATACACATACATATGTACGTACCATACACACACACATATATACCATATACACACATATACTATACATCATATACACACACACACATATAATAAAGAAATGTAAAGAAAGTCTAGGCTCAGACTGCAAAATTTGACCACGCTCTTAAAAAGAACAAACATAGAGAAGGAAGGATAACTGCTTCCAACTCTTTTTATGAAGCCAGTATTATCCTGACACCAAAGCCAGATAAAAGCACAGTAAAAAAATTACACAACATTCTCCCCTGGTGAGCAAAGAAAAGAAAAACAATAAAATACAAAGTGAATTCAAGAACGCATCAAAAAAGAGCATTCACCACAATCAATTTGGCTTCATTTTAGGGATGCAGGGATAGCCCAACTAATCAGTAACTATAATAAATAACATAAATAGACTCAAAGATTAAAGTCATACAATCATTTCAACAGATGCAAGAAAGGGCCTTTGACAAACTCTAACATCCCTTCATCTTTGAAAACACTGAATAGAAAGGAATAGAAGGAACATATGTAAACATGATAAAAGCTATTCATGACAATTCTATAGACAGAAAAGCTGGAAGCATTTTCACCAAAATCATGAACAAGGGTGTCTGCACTTTCTATCCCTGTTCAAGATAGTCCTTAAAGCCTGAGAGCAACAAGACATGAGGAAAAACATAAAAAAGAATACAAACAGGAAGAAAAGAAGATGCCAAAGTACCCTTAACTACAGACTGTGGAGGTTTTAATGTAATTGACCCCCATAAGCTCATAGGAAGAGGCATCATTAGGAGATGTGGCCTGTTGAAGTAGGTATGGCCTTGTTGGAGAAAGTGTGGGAGTGGACTTTAAGGTCTTATATATGCTCAAGCCACACCTAGTGTCTCAGACCACTTCCTGTTGCCTGTGGAATCAAGACGTAGTTCCAAAGTTGTCATGCCTGCCTGCATGCCACCACATCCCACCATGATGACAATGAACTAAACCTCTGAACTGTAAGCCAGCCAATGAAATGTTTTCCTTTATAAAATTTACCACAGTCATGGTGTCAGAGTAATGACTCTACCAAGAAACTGTCAAGAGTCAGTAAACATTTTTAGTAAACTTACAGAACACAAATTTAACATACAAAAATCAGAAGCCTTATTATATACCAATGTTAAGCATACAGAAACAGAAATCAGAGAAATGATTATATTCACAATAGCAACATAAACAATAAAAACACCTTGGAGTAAACCTAAGCAAGGAAGTGTAAGATTTCTACAGAGCAAGCTTTAAAACAACTAATAAAGGAATTGAGGAAAACACTGGGAAGACTTCCCATATTTGTGGATTGGAAGAATTAATACTCTAGAAATGACTGTCCTACCAAAATCAATTTATAGATTTAAAGCAATGCCCATCAAAACTGCAGGGTCATCCATCAACAAATGGGACCTTATGAAATTAAAAGACTTCTGTGCAGCAAAGGAAACTGTTAATTGAGTGAAAAGAATAGAATAAATTCTTCACCATCTGATAGAGGACTAGTATACAGAATATACAAAGAACTCAAGAAACTAAACATCAAGTAAGCAAACAACCCAATCAGAAAATTAATTATAGAATTGAACAGATATTTCCCAAAAGAAGAAATATAAATTGCCAACAAATATTTTGAAAAGTATTCAGATCCTTAATAATTATGGAAATACAAATTATAGCTACTCTGAGCTTCTATCTTATGCTAATCAGAATGGCTATAATAAAGGTTAAAAAGATTAAAAAAATTGTTAATGAGGCTGAAGAAAAAGAGGAGCATCAATGTTACTTGTGCTGGCGGGTCTTATGTCAACTTGACATACAAACTAGAGTTATCTGAAGGAGGTGATCTTAACTGAGAAAATGCCTCCTTAAGATCCAGCAGTTGTAAGGTGGTGGTGGTGGCACACAGCTTTAATCCCAGCACTCAGGAGGCAGAGGCAGGCAGATCTCTTTGTAAGTTCAAGGCCAGCCTGGTCCACAGGGTGAGTTCCAGGACAGCCAGGGCTGTTACACAGAAAAACCCTGTCTTGAAAACAAAAAGAAAAAAGATCCAGCTGTAAGACATTTTTTAAATTAGTGATTGATGGGAGAGAGTCCAGTCCACTGTGGGTTGTTCCATCCCTGGGCTGATGGTCCTGGATTCTATTATAAAGCAGGCTAAGCAAGCCATGGGAAGCAAGCCAGTAAGCAGCATCCCTCCGTGGACTCTGCATAAACTCCTGCCTCCATGTCCCTGCCCTGTTTGAGTTCTTGTGCTGACTTCCCTTGATGATGAACTGTGATATGGAGGTATAAACTGAATAAACCCTTTCTTCCCCAACTTGAATTTTTGGTCCTGATGTTTCATCACAGCAATAGTAATCCTAACTAAGTGGGAATATAAACTAGTACAACAACCATGAAAATTACCATAGAGTTGCCTCAAAAAGACCATCCTCTTAGATCAGCAGAATTGATATTGTGGAAATGCCATATTACCAAGACTAATCTACAAATGAAATACAGTCCTCATTGAAATACCAATGGCATTCTCCACAGGAATGGGGGGGGTCATAAAATTCATATGGAAATGAAAATACCATGGATACCCAAATCAATTTTAGGCAGAAAGACATAGCGTTATCACATGACCTAGCTTCAAAATATGCTACAGAGCCATAATGACAAAAACAGACATGGAGATAAATGAAACATAATATAGGACACAGGCATGGAACCCTATTCAATAAACGGTGCTGATAAAACTAGATGTTCATCTTCAGAAGAATGAAATTAAATCAATATCTCTCATCCTGAGCCAAATCATCAATCCAAGCTGGGTCAAAAACCCTAACTTAAAATCATAAATGTTGAAGCTGCTAGAGGAAACTACAGGGGAAACATTTTGGAATACAGGTTTACACAAGAAATTTCTGACTAGCACTGGCAAACTGGATTTCTTTAAAGCAGTAGTTCTCAACCTTCCTAATGCTGCAACCCTTTAATACAGTTCCTAATGTTGTGGTGATCCCCGCACAAGCCATAAAATTATTTTTCTTACTGCTTCATGACTGTAACCTTGTTTCTGTTATGAATGGTAAATGTAAATATCTGTTATGTAGGATATCTGATATGAGAGCCTGAGCACAGATTGAAACATGCTTCTTTAAGATAAAGGCACCCGCACAGCAGAAGAAACTGCCAACACATTCTCTATAGAGGGGGAACCTCTGACAGGTACACTTCAGACAAGTTAGACTAGTGGTTCTCAACCTCGCTAATGCTGTGTGACCCTCATGCTGTGGTAACCTCACCACCACCACCACCATAAAATTATTTCGTTGCTACCTCATAACAGTAATTTTGCTACTGAACCTGGGTCTTCTGTAAAAATAAAAAGCACTCTTAACCAATTGCCATCTCTTCAGTCTTTTCTTTGCTCATTATGTAGTCCATGTAGCCTTGAACTGGTTACATACACTTGGCTGGCCTCAAACTCAGAGACTCGCCTCTCTCCTGCTTTGCACCTGGTTTTAATGACCCAGTGCATTTAACTGGTTTTGCTTCTGTGAGCATGAGTAGGGAAAAAAATTGTTATTTTGGCATTGGGGGAACCCACACAGAAATGCTGGAAATTACAAACTCAGTGAAATAAACAGAAAAACAGTGGTGACACCACCAATACACTGGGCCAAGCAGAATAAAGAATATCAAGGACAAAGGACAAGAAGTCTGGGTTTCGATCAGAATACCAAACCAAAGAATACACAGACCAGAAGAAGGAACTGAGAGAAACACTAAAGACAGACAATTTGTCTATCAGTTTAATATGAGGATCCCTGTTGTAGACTATTATTTTAAGGTGTGGCACATTTGTTTCTGCTGTGGAACATTCGATTAATGGTGAAAAGATGTGTTACATTCTTTTTTAGTATTTATTTTTCTTATTTTACATTCCAACCAAAGTTCTCCCTCCCACCCCTTCTCCTGCCCTTGCTTGCCTCCTGCTCAGCCCACACACCCACCCCCCATTCACTCCTCCCAACAGGGAAGGACTCCCATGGAGGGGCCTACATAGTTTGGCACATTAAGTTGGGACAGGACCAAGCCCCTGTGTTGCATTCTTTTAATGTTGCATTTGTTTAATTCTGTGAAGCTGTGTTACTATGCGCTTAAAACACGTGACTGGTCTGATAAAAGAGGTGAAAGCCAATAGAAAGGCAGGAGAAAGGATAGGCAGGGCTAGCAGGCAGAGGGAATAAACAGAAGGAAAAATCTGAAAGAAAGGTAGAAGAAGCAAGAGAGGAGAAGGGAGCCAGAAAAGGGGCCAGCCATCCAGCCACATAGTCAAACATGACAAATAATAAGCCTCCGTGTGATTAATTTGGGAGCTGGGAGGCGGGCTCCCCAAAAGAGCTCAAAAAGCAAAAGAGTCTTAAGTAGACAATCAGGGTCATTATGTATTTATGCACATTACACCCTGAAAGGAGTGTGGATTCTCCTCCCTGCAAGCCATATCTTCAACTCCTATCTATCTCGGCTTTACTCTCCAAGCGCTTTCCCAGCTGCTGTTACATCCCCGACGTCCAAGTCATGTGCCAGGCAGGCCTGTCTCTACCCAGGGAAACTTTAAAGTTTCACGTCAAGACCTTGCAGCTAACAAGCAAGTCATGGTGATGGGTGGAGGAGGTTACCATGGAGACAGGTCCAGGGCCAGGGACTCTGGATGGGGAGGCCCGGGTTCAGCTTCCCATTGGCTCTAAGGACGCGCAGCGTTCCTGTAGCACATGCGCAGTGGCGCCGAGGCGAGGTCGCTGCGAAGCCCAGGCGCTGGGGATTCTAGCCCGGGCCTCTGGGGACCGAGCTGGGACTTGCGCGTCTTGGCGGCTCGCGGCTCTTCCTGGAGAGGAAAGCCGTGAAGCTGAGACCCCCACCCCACACACACACACACACACACACCCGTGCAGCTCGGGGTCGAACCTGCCACGCAGGCGCCCACTACGCCGCCGCCATTGTTGCCCGTGCTGCGCGGACGGGGCCGAGCGACAGGTACTGATGTCCCCGCGAGTGTCCACGGGGAGGCCGGGCCCGGGCGAGGCCGGGAAGGGGAGGCGACTGAAGGCGAGGACGGCACATCTCCTCGGGGCATGACTGCGGATGAGCTGGGCAGGGAGTTGGAGCCCCGGACAAGTACGTGTGGGTTCTTCTCCGCGTCTGGATACTTTTGAGGTTGGCGTTGGGGATCGTGCTTTCGGTTTATACTTGAGGAGGCTCCTGATCGGCCTCCAATCACGGTCCAACGGGCTTGTTTTCCTTGCTCCGAGAGTAGAGTAGATAATGCAAGGCAGATAAATAGATCGCCTTGGCCCCACCCCCCACGAGGTTGTTTGGAAACCTCCAGTTTGTCCTAGTAATCGCAGATTTGTGGTTGCTGAGAACACCGGGAACATCAGAGACTAAGATAGTAAGATAGTGAAACATTTCTTCTGTAAGATTAGTTTTTTTTAACAAGTTAGAAGTTAATCATTGTCATAATTCTTTGAATTATTGCATACACATACACTTCCTCTAAGATAAGTATATTCTAAGTCCAAGGATAGAGGGAAGGAAGACCGGGATGAATCCTATGTGTCTATCCAAGCATTCTGCAGAGTCTGTCTCTGAATGATGAGTAGCATGGTATACCAGGAATTCTTGAGCTTATGGTCCATTCTCATGCTGGATAGTTTATGTCAACTTGACATGATCTATAGTCATCTGAAAGGAGGGACCTCTATAAGACTAAGCTGTAGGCAAGACTGTGGAACATTTTCTTAATGATATAGGAGGGCTCAGTCCATTGTGGTTGGAGCCACACCTGGGCAAGAGGTCCTGGGTTCTACAGAACGCAGGCTGAGCAAGCCAGTAAGCAGCATGCCTCCATGGCCTCTCTCTGCTCCTGACTCCAGGTCCCTATCCTGTTTGAGTTCCTGTCCTGACTCCTTTTGATGATGGACAGTGATATGGAAGTGTAAGCCAGATAAATCCTTTCCTCCCAAGTTGTTTTTGCTCGTGGTGTTTTGTCATAGCAGTAGTAACCCTAAGACAGGAACTAGAAGTGGGGTACTGCTATTACAGACCTGACCATGTTTGGGGAGGATTGTGGAAGGATGTTGGGCTAGAAAAGCCATTGGGTGTTTGAGAGCTCAGTGGGCTGTTTTGTAGGAGCTGAAGATAAAGTTGGAAACAGAGCAGATGATGGTCTGGTGTGTGACGTTTCAGAGGGAAGCAAACTTGGCCTTTTTCTGTGGAGAATCTTTGGTGTCTGGTACCTGGAACTGAATAGTCACCTGTGATTAAGAAGAGACCGGCATCACAGAGGTGAAGTCTTATGGGAAGTGTTTCCTTGGGATCAGCACACTGAAGCTGTGCTCCTGAAGCAGCCAAGGTTGTACCTCCTGACGGCCGAACTTGTCAGGGTAAGAGTCACTCAGGTGGTACTGGTTTTGATGACATGAAGGGGTCATAGAGAGTAGCTTTTTGGCACTGTGGCGGGGCTGGCATCCCTGAAGGAAGTCCAGGAGAGGCTGTCTTAGTTAGGGTTCCTGTTGTTGTTTTGAAACACCCTGACCAAAAAGCAAGCTGAGGAGGAAAGAGTTTATGGGGCTTGTACTTCATATTGCTGTTCCTCTTCAAAGGAAGTCGGGATAGGGACCCCAAACACAGCAGGAACCTTGGAGGCGGGAGCTGATACAGAGGCCATGGAGGGGTGCTGCTTACCGGCTTGCTCCCCTGGCTTGCTCAGCTTGCTTTCTAATAGAATCCAAGACCACCAGCACCAGAATGGAACAACCCACATTGGACTGTGCCCTCTCCCATCTATCACTAATTAAGAAAATGTCTTACAGCTGGATCTTATGGCAGCATTTTCTCAGTAGAGGTTGCCTCCTTTAAGATAACTCTAGTATGTGTGTCAAGTTGATAAGACTAGCCAACCCAGAGGCTATTTGGTGAAAAGTACAGCCCAGTTTCAGCAAAAGACCCCAACATTTTGGAGATGCCAGTACCACGGGGTGATCCCCAAGACTCAGCAATAGCAGTGGACCAGAGCCTAGAAAACAAGCTTTGTGTGCTGCTGGAGGCAGGGCTGGAGAAGTGACCCAAGCCCCTCAAAGGAGCCTAGAAGATCGTGACTGGATTCCATACATTGGACACTGAGTTATTCACACAATTGGAGGTTTTGCTTGTTTGTGTTTGTCCTGGAATCCACTCTATAGACCAGGCTTGCTTCAAACTTATAAATCTGCATGCCTCTGCCTCCCAAGTGCTGGGATTAAGCTCATGCACTGGTTTTGGTTTGATTGTGACTGTTCTCTGGTGCTCTCCTTTTGAAATAAGAAAGTATTTAATTAAATTTTCATTTTATAGGAGCCACAGTTGAGACTTTGGATTTTAAAAGAAACTACATTTTTTTTTTAAGTGTTTGGGGAGCTTTTACGTTTAAAAATGTTTTATACTGTGATGTTGATATTAATGTATGGTCTTGGGAATAAACCATAAAAGAAAGGTTGTGGCTTAACAGTGATGTTGTGTGTCAAGGTAACAAGAGGTCAGTTGTGTTGACTAGTTTTATGTCAACTTGCAAGCTGTAGTGATCTGAGGGGAGGGAATCTCAATTGAGAAAATGCTTCCAAAAGATATGGCTGTAAGGCATTTTCTTAATTAGTGATTGACATGGAGGGCCCAGCCCATTGTGGATGGTGCTATCCATGGTGGTCCTGAGGTTCTATTAGAAAACAGGCTAAGCAAACCTTGGAGAGCAAGCCAGTAAGCAGCACTCCTCCATGGCCTCCACATCAGTTCCTGCCCTGTTTGAGTTCCTGTCCTAACTTCTTTGATGATGAAAAGTGATGTGGACGTGTAAGCCAGATAAACCCTCTCCTCCCATCTTGCTTTTGCTCATAGTGTTTCATCACAGCAAGGTAACCCTAACTAAGATAATTCTTGTGTTTCAGGTTCTTGCTCATCCTTTCAAGTTCTAGGCGCAGAATTTGTTACAGGCTGCTAGCTTTACTGTGGTTCCATTCTGGCCCTGGCTGTATTAGCCATTGAGGAAAAAATAATTGTGACTGTAGCATGAGACTTCAAGCAGTTGGCTCAATACTGGAAAAATAAAAGACCCTGCCAGATCAGTTCTCCTGTCTATAGCAATGTTTGCCTCAAGAAAGAGGATGGCCAACTCTTCACGCTCACAGGTCCTCCTGATGTGGAAGCCAGACAAGGTTCAAAGCGGGCCCTGCAGTGACGAGAAGCAAACACTCACTTCAAGACTCTTGCGTGACACTGAGACCTGTCGGCAGAATTTTAGGAATTTCTCATACCCGGATGTGGCAGGTCCCCGGAAAGCATTGAGTCAGCTCCGAGAGCTCTGCCTTAAGTGGCTGAGACCTGAGGTTCACTCCAAGGAACAAATCCTGGAGCTGCTGGTGCTGGAGCAATTCCTGACCATCCTGCCTGGGGAGGTTAGGGCTTGGGTGAAGTCTCAGTACCCAGAGAACAGCGAGGAAGTGGTGACTCTGGTGGAGGATGTGACTCAGATTCTACAAGAGGAAGGTGAGAATTATACAGCAGAGATGGATAGGGACCCTGGGTGGTTAGGAGACACCTAGGGCCTCTGAGACCGCCCCCCCTTAAATGAAACTGGGGAGAATGTGGTCAGTGAGTAATGAGCTTTAACACGAGGTCCATGCCTCATTGTGTCCCCTTCCAGAGTACTTGGGACCTCTGTGACTCGAAGAGGTTTGCACCATTATGCTAATAAACCGTTAGTTTTATGAATTATGTTTTACAAAAATATACTTCAAAAATAGTGGAAGTATCCAAAGAACATTCATGTATAGAGACAACTCATAACTTTGTATCCGAGACTTAGAGAGCAGGGGACATGTGTAGCCTGGTGGTGGAGTGCAAGGTTCAGGGTTCAATGCCAGCACCACCCCCCAAAAAAGAGGTGTATGGATTTTCTGCATATATTCAGTGCTGAAGCAGGCTTGTTTTTTAAATCTGCCCTGGTGAGTTAGGGCAGTCATTGGCCTTTTTCTATGAAGTATTAATGAAGTTTTCACTTGTCCTTTGCCTTCTCACATTGATGAAGTGTGTCCTAGACCATGCAAACAAACTAATCATCATTGTCTTCCCCAGCTCCTCAGAACCCTGCCCTTCCCCAGGAAGTCCCAGAGGAAGAACCCAAAGCTGCTTTCCAGGCAGGGTGGCTCAATGACTTGGTGGCCAATGTGAGTTTGACTTTCTTTTGTAATTTTAAAGCTTCTTCTTAGTGTATGAGGACATTCTGTTCTGGGCCTGTAAATACTAAGCTCTCAGAAGTCCCATTCAGAGCCTAGGCCTCAGTTTCCCCTGGTAAGCACCGTGCTTCCCTCCCTCCCTTGTCTCTATCACCCTGACTTCAGTATTGTGTGAAGGTTAAGAGTCTGACCCCACTGCTAGATGGTATCTGTGGGGTGACTATGCTAGTCACTTTGTGATTTGAGACAAGATTCTTAACCACTCACAGCCTAAGTTCTTCAGAGCCAAAAAGGAGACTTTACCTTTTAGATTGTAGACACTAAATATGAGATATCTGATTATTTTAGATTATAGTAGTGGTTGCTAATATTTTTCCTCATCAATAAGTAAAGGCCATATATTCTATGATCAACTGTTTGAATGACAGTCTCTTATTTATGAAATAATACCTCAAGCAGGATTTATTGGAGGCAGAATATGTATATGCATGTATCTCTCTGTGTGTGTGTGTGTGTGTGTGTGTGTGTGTAGCCTCTGGTACCTACACTGATTTTTTTATAGTTGATATAAACATATTTACTTGGAAAATCAGAAAACCAAGGGGAAATATATTAGAATAGAAACAGACTGCTATAGAAAATAACACACAAAAATATATCCCATGTTATATAAAGATCATATGATTAAAATAAAAGATTAGTCTGTACCATACACACAAAAGGAAACTTTAAGATAGCTAGAACTAAGTATAGTATGGACTTTATAGTATTTTCATATCCTTTGTCATTTTATGGGATGTTAAAAAAAAAAAACCTTGAATAATTGCAAAGCTGGCATCTTCCTAAATTATAAACTTAGTATGATTTTAGCCTCTCAATTTTTCAGTTGAGCAGAGCTAAAGCAATAGTGTCCTGAATTCAAGACCAGCATAGGCTACACATTAAGACCTTGACTTAAAAATATATGAATTTTTTTTTTAAGATACAACCACAAAAAAGGAGCATGCCAGAATAATGAAGAGCCTAGCCTGATGGTACGCATCTTTAATCCCAGCACTAGGGGAGCAGAAGTAGGTAGATCTCTGTGAGTTCAAGAAACCAGCCTGGTCTATTCAGTGAGTTCTAGGCTAGCCAGAGCTACATAGCAGAGATTAAAGCATTTTTTGGTTGTGAGCCTAGCCTTTAAAGCCTGAGCCGTCTCTCCAGCCCAAAAAATAACAAAAGAAAGAAAGAAAGAAAGAAAGAAAGAAAGAAAGAAAGAAGAAAGGAAAAGGATAACGAGAATGATTCTGCATTTCATTGTAGAGAATACAGATTTTTAATTATAGCAAAACCAACTCTGCCATCTAGTTTTCAGCCTATCCTGTGGGCTTGAGAGATGACTTAGTTGGCAAAGTACTTGCCACACATATATGAGGACCTGAGTTTGATCCCCAGAACCCACATAAGCTAGAAGTGATAATGGGCATCCATAACCCAGAGCTCTTGTGGCAAGATAGGCAGCAGAGACAGAGAATTCTAGGAGTTCACAGGCGAGCCAGAAAACAAGAGGCCCTGTCTCAAATACACCTGAGGTTGTCTCTGACTGCCACGTGCGTCCTAACACACACACACACACCAGAGCACGCATGCATGCACACACACACAAAGTCATTTTCTTCCCCCCTGCCCACCTCCTTTTTTTTGTTTTACAGTGCTAGGGGTGAAATCTGAGTCTAGAATCCACTAGACAAGTTCTCTACCACTGAGCTACTCTGCAGCCCTTTTCTTCTTTAAGATGGAGCCACTGAATGCATGTGCTAATAACATCTGAAAACAGTATATTTTACCTTATTTTTAAATGTCCCTTTAAGGACCTTTTAAGGTTACTATGGAGTCAGCCACACATTGGATGAGGGTTTGGGGGCCTTGGTTTGGTTGGTTGGTTGAAGACAGGATCTCACCATGTACTTCAGGCTAGTCCAGAACTCATTGAATACTGGTATTACAAGTGTGGGCCACCACACCCAGTAGGATGACCACCACAGACACACCCAGTGTCACCTCTGTCTCCTTCCTCTAGTTCTCAGCTGAGTTAGGGTATGTTTGACATTTTAGGAGTCAATGACATTCACAGATGTGGCCGTGGATATCACCCAAGAGGACTGGGAACTGATGCGCCCCGTTCAGAAGGAACTGTATAAGACTGTGACTTTACAGAACTATTGGAACATGGTTTCTCTAGGTAAGGTCCATACCTCTCCTCCCAAAAGGCCAGCCACAGTATGTCCCTGCCCTCCTTACTAAAAATCGTGTTAGGTGCCTGAAGGGCCTGACTGAAGACAGTCTAGACGTGAGAAGTCTCCTGCAGGCACTAAACTGTCATGTTCTACTGTTCCCCAAAAGAAAGGCTTACTGGGTGGGTCAGTGGGCATCACAGCACACAGCTGTGCAGTGCAGCTGCTGGGTGGGTCAGTATACATCACAGCACACAGCTGTGCAGTGCTGCTGCTGGGTGGGTCAGTGCGCATCATCACAGCACACAGCTAGCTGTACAGTGCTGCTGATGGGTGGGTCAGTGTGCATCACAGCACACAGCTGTACTGATGGGAGATGTCATTCTGTAAATATGTTTTAAGTATTGGTTAATGAATAAAGCACTGTTGGCCAATAGGAAAGCAAGATAGGCAGGACTAGGAGACAAGGAGAAGAAAGGAAGTAGTAGGGAGGAGTTCCAAGATGGAGGATGGAGAGAGGAAAACACTAGCCCCTCTCTCCAGTAAGATGAGACCACATGGAAATACTTAAATTAATAGAAATGGGTTAATATTTAAGACAGAGCTAGCCGGTAAGAAATTAGTAACTGGCCAAGACCATTTATATCTAATACAGAGTCTCTGTGTGTTAATTGGGACTGGTGCTGCGGTGGGTCCAGGCTGGCAGGAAAAACCTACTTGTAACACTGTACAGTGCTGCCTCTGGATGCTCCCTCACACCTAGTTCTCCTACTAGGTCATGTCCATGAGTCATTGTCTCCCCACAGAAGCCCAAGTAGAAATCAGGTATCAAAGGCACATAGTTCCTTACCACAGGGTAAACTCCTTCTGTTCTCCTAAGCAGGACTGACCGTCTACAGGCCAACTGTGATTCCCATCTTAGAAGAGCCATGGATGGTGATAAAAGAAATTGTAGAAGGCCCTAGCCCAGGTGAGAAGGAAAGCCAATGCATGACCTTACACTCAAGAATCTGTGTCCTCGGTGTAGTGATACTTGATTTGTAAACATAGCAAGGTGACTGCAGAGGCATCCAGCTGGTCCAAAACCCAGAGCTGCTGACATCATTGCCTTATGGGAAGTCTTCAGGAAAAGTTTCTGAGTGTCATTTTTATGCCTTTGCCAGTGTCTGCACTTTTTATCCTCAAAGATCCCTAGATCCCATCTCTACATCTCTAGGGCTTCACAGTGCCATTCCCCATCCCTGTATACATAAGTGTTATCAGGGCTCTCTACAGGAGCAGGCTGACTGAATGAAATATATTTATATGGGTGATTTCTCTCTGTCTCTGTCTCTCTCTCTCTCTGTGTGTGTGTGTGTGTGTGTGTGTGTGTGTGTGTGTGTGTTTGTTTGTGTGTGTGTGTGTGTGTTTATGAAAGTGAAATTTAAAGACTGGTCTGAGTAGTTCAACAGTGGCTATCTCCCACTAGAAATGCCAAGAATCGACTGACAATGATGGCGCATGCCTTTAATCTCAGCACTTGGGAGGTAGAGACAGGCAGATCTCAGTGAGTTCAAGGCCAGCCTGGTCTACAGAGTGAGTTCCAGAACTGCCAGCTACACAGAGAAACCGTCTGAAAAAAAAAATCAGTATTGTAAGGAGTAAGGTTTTTCCACCCGCCTCTGGTCTTGTCCCGCTGCCGTGCCAGCCCCAATTAACACACAGAGACTCTGTATTTGATACAATGCTATTGGCCTGGTACTAGTTTCTTATCGGCTAGCTCTGTCCTAAGTATTAACCCATTTCTATCTATTTCCACGTGGTTTCACCTACCCGGGAGTGGCATCTCGTCTCCCCAGTCTCTTCATGCTGACTCCTCCTTACCACTTCCTCTTTCCTCCTTGTCTCCTAGTCCCTCCTATCTTCCTTTCCTATTGGCCAACAGTGCTTTTATTCATTAACCAGCATGAGAAACATTTACAGAATGACATCTCCCATCACAATATAACTATACTTCCAGCACCGAATAGCAGTAAAAGTAACAGCTAATTTGTTGGAAATTAGAAAAACTATTATTTTTCACTTCTTCATGATAGCATTTTCTCATTTGATATTACTCCTAGACATGTTCTGCTGTCGGCTGTGGTTTTTTTTTATTCAAATCAAAGTAATAAAAATGGTTTGTAAATTCAAGCTGCGTGAGAGAGCAAATTAAATGTGTGGCTTCTCCCCTCAGCGATTGCCAGGACCTGGTCCCTCACGCCATCAACATTTCCATCCGTGATACATGCAGCATGTCTTTAGAGATAAGACCACCCTTGGTCCATGTGCTGCTTTACCCCTGCTTTCGTTCACTCAGTGTGCCTGTCCCACTTTTCCTAGATCGCCAGTACTCCACACATGCCCTGCTCATAGATGCAGATTTTCATTATCAGGGGCCACACACTGTCCTGTTGATCTGACAGGTCGGTAAAGTTATCATACCTTGAGCTTGAGCTGCATTTAGTTTCTGAACCATCCAGTACTGTTTTCTATATTATACATTATTCACCATATTATATAACTAAGACTTACGTTATATATTGCCCACTTGGCTTCATAGAGGTGTAGCATAAAATTTGTTTTAAATCATCTATTGGAAACATAGCAACAGGTATCAATAAATGCATACTTGAGTGCCTTGAAACCAGGTTTTGGGTTAGAGATTCTTTTTGTTTGTATTTTGTATAAACAAATCATTATCATTACAAGTTATATCATTTTTCTAAGTTTATTTGGGCCATTTTCTGAAGGAAATGAAAAAAAAAAAAAAAAAAAAGATACAACCTGTTTCCAGAGATTACATCTAAGTTGAAAATATGTTATGAAATACAAAGTTGTTAAATAATTATATAAGGGCAAGTTCTGTCATTGTATTAAGTTGAACCATACTGAGATTGCTGATAGTCAGCCTTTGGCCTTTGAGAAGACAGCTTAATCTTTCATTCATCACCTCTATATTTAGGTCATAGGAAGGAATGTTGTGAAGGAAACAAAGTGAACGGCAAGCATCTCTCTATATAGGTAGGAGCAGACAGTTTGGAATTAGCATGGTGCTTAGACTGAACATAGCTTTGAATTTAAGTTAAACTAAATATGAGGTACAAAAGACATAAGAAGGTAAAAGGCTAGATTATTTGGGGCTAAATGCCAAGAAGAGGTATTTTGAACTTTTGCGGGGAGGGGGTCCTTTTTTAGTCTTTAGGCTGCTTGTCCTCCCAACTTTTCTGTGGAACAAAATGGCATTCTGTGCTTGCTAAAGCAAATCGTTCAAACTTACCACTGGTGTCCTTAAATAAGTTTAGGGTGGGACCCAGTCATTTCAACTTATTTACAGATGACGATGAAACTTATACTGCTAGTTCGGGGACAGTAGATTCAAGAACCTTTGTTAAGGCTGCTAGCTACATACTTGAGAGTAGAAAGCACTCCATGAGATTATTTTTAAAGTATTATGTGAGTTGGGCTTAGTGGTACACACCTGTAATCCCAGCACTAAAGAGGCAGAAGCAGGTAGATCTGAGTTCAAGATCAGACTGGTCTACAGAGCTAGTTCCAGGACAGCCAGAGCTACATAGACCCTGTCTCAAAAAGAAAACAAAATGTATTATCATTATTATTATTTGGGGTTGTGTCTATAGATTGGAAGGGAAAAATAAAGCAGCATGGCTTCTTTATGAGATCACTGTATGTATAAATGATACCATGTTTCTCTTAACACTGGCACCTGTCACCTCTATGCGCTTTATACCATACTAACAAGTAAGAAGCCCCTCCATTCTCAGTGATTTGTCTCCTCCTTTTCTAATCATTCATTTTCCTTCCCTGCACTTTAAGGACCATAGTGAAGTTATCAGAACTGTAGTCTTCAGAAATTTTATTCATGTATATTGTTTTGTTTCCTTTAAAGAGAGTAAGACTTTTAATGTTTTTTTTAAATTTCAGAATGGGAAACGAAAGCTCAAGCACATATCCCATTAAAGGATCTTCCTAAACTCAAACAGAATGGAACCCAAACCATCAAAATGGAAGAAACCTATGACTATGATGACAGATTAGAGAGGCAGCCAGTGTATGCCTTCAGGAAGATGCACATGGATGAAAGAGACTTCAATTTGAAGTCAGAGATTTCACAAGAAGACCCAACAGAAGAATATCTTAGTAAATATGATATATATGGAAATGACTTTGAAAAGCACACAAACCTAATTGTACATTTTGATACCCAGTCAGATAATAAAACTTCTCTGTATAATGAAAGCAAGCCAACTTTCAGTAATGTCTCATCTGGTATTGTACATGGGAAAATACTTCCTGGAGATAAGCCTTATTCGTGTAATGTCTGTGGGAAAAAATTTAGAAAATACCCATCACTCCTGGCACACCGAAATAGCCATGCCAAAGAGAAATCTTATGAATGTGAAGAATGTGGGAAAGAGTTTAAGCATATCTCATCCCTCATTGCACACCAGAGAATGCATACTGGAGAAAAACCATATGAATGTCACCAGTGTGGCAAAGCCTTCAGCCAGCGTGCACACCTTACTATACATCAGAGAATTCATACTGGAGAAAAACCCTACAAGTGTGATGATTGTGGAAAAGACTTTAGTCAGCGTGCACATCTTACTATACATCAAAGGACACATACTGGTGAGAAACCTTATAAATGTTTGGAATGCAGTAAAACCTTTAGCCATAGTTCATCATTGATTAATCATCAGAGAGTTCATACTGGAGAAAAACCTTATATATGCAATGAATGTGGGAAGACTTTCAGTCAGAGCACACACCTTCTCCAACATCAAAAGATTCATACTGGGAAAAAACCATATAAGTGCAATGAGTGTTGGAAGGTGTTTAGTCAGAGCACTTATCTTATTCGACATCAGAGAATTCATTCTGGAGAGAAGTGCTATAAATGCAATGAATGTGGAAAGGCCTTTGCTCATTCCTCAACTCTTATACAACACCAAACTACCCACACTGGAGAGAAAGCCTATATATGTAATGTGTGTGGGAAAGCCTTCAGCCAGAGCGCAAACCTTACTCAGCATCATAGAACACATACTGGAGAGAAACCGTATAAATGTAATGTGTGTGGGAAAGCCTTCAGCCAGAGTGTGCACCTTACTCAACACCAGAGGATTCACAATGGAGAAAAGCCCTTTAAATGTAATGTGTGTGGGAAAGCATATAGACAAGGTGCAAATCTTACTCAACATCAAAGGATTCATACTGGAGAAAAACCCTATAAATGTAATCAATGTGGAAAAGCTTTTATTTATTCTTCATCCCTTAATCAACATCGAAGAACTCACACTGGAGAGAGACCCTATAAATGTAATCACTGTAACAAAGATTTTAGCCAGAGAACATGCCTTATTCAGCACCAGAGAATTCACACAGGAGAGAAACCCTATGCATGCCGTATATGTGGGAAAAGTTTCACCCAGAGTACCAATCTTATTCAACATCAGCGTGTGCATACAGGTGTCAGACACCGCAACAGGTGCCAGACACCACAGTTATTTGACATGACTTTGTTTAAGCTTTCAAACTTGATTGCTTAAATTTCATGTTGTGTGCTGTATCAAACTATTTGAAAGAAATCTGAAGTGCAATATGCTAGATACCATAGTAGCAGAAGTACCAGAGTTAGTAATATGGCTCTTGTCCATTTAGATTCTAGTGTGAAACTTAAAGCTCCATCAGCTGCTTAGCTTTTGTCTCATATCACTTTAATTCATCCCAGAAAGAAATACTGTGAAAGGGTATTTCAAAACCTGTGACTCATCAACTCTTATCATATTTCAAGTATGTTTTATTGAGGCCTTATGACTATAACTTGGGCAAGTGTCTGTCACACTAGATTACTCACACTAAAAAGTAATCCTGACATTGTAGGAAAGAAGGTATGGATGCTTTGGGGGTCTTAGCTCCTTTGCTTCATCCTAGCTTTGAAGCCTTAAAATAAGTAAAAGGCCCCTCCCATTTCCTCTTTTCCCATTACAACGTCCATGTGAAGCCCAGTAAGCTTGAGGCAGAAACCTGAAAGGCTATTTTTTGTTTGTTTGTTTGTTTGTTTTTCAAGACAGGTTTTCTCTGTATTACTTTGGAGCCTTCCTGGAACTAGCTCTGTAAACCAGGCTGGCCTCGAACTCACAGAAATCTGACTGCTTTTGTCTCCCTATAGACCATGCTGGCCTCGAACTCAGAGAAATCCAACTGCCTCTGCCTCCTGAGTGCTGGGATTAAAGGCGTGTGCCACCAATGCCCAGGGATCTGAAAAGTTCTTAAAAGATTTCTATATGACCACTGTTAACTACACTTCCTCCAGGAGAGGAGGCAATCTGATAAGATAAAGCAGTGTGTACAAAACCTTAGACATAACAAACTCAGACACAGATTAAACACCCCAAGCTTAAAGTTACCTTTTAGTACAACAGTATTTTTAGTTTCATTGGGTTTTGACATCCAGTGTCACCCTGAAGAAAAAAAAGGCTCACTGTTGCCATTTTTTTCCAGCTAACTTTTTAATTTCCCCATGGCTCTTGCTGTAGCAAAGCCATTTCTTTCATTAAAACACATTTCCTAAGAGCCTACTGTGTTCAGGACAGACTTTTGTATTGATCCCTTTCAGTTAACAAAGATCTTTAAAGAAAAGAACATGCTCTTAACTACTTCATCATGAAACAAGCATTGTCCTACCTAAATGAGTTTCCAAATACTACCCTATCAGCCAAGTTCCGTGAGCAGTGAACATAGCTTTATAAATAATTTGAGAGTAAGTAATAGAAAAGATTCTGGTCCAGTGTGCAGAGGGAGCAAGGGAAACCCAGGGTGGAAAGGAGTGAGGAAGGGAGGTATGCAAATAGCTGATGTGACTTGAAATATAATTGGACCCCCTTTACCTAAGGAAATCATAGTGGTAACAAATTAAACTATTCATAGAAAACTAAAAATGAAATTATTTTCAGTAATAAGAAGCCTAGTACTCCTCCATACATGGTAGTAAAACAGAAATTATACTTAATGTGTTAGGAAAATACTTCATTGGAAAAAAATATTGGTACAGAAACTATCATTAACCAGTAACCATTAAATAACTGAGTTCATGGGTCTTAACAGCATAAAAGAAAGATTAGCAGGAATTGATTTTTATTTGTTGTTGCATTTACTATCCATAGCATCACACCCTCAGAATATAAAGCAGAGCTTCATTTTGCTCATTCTTGTTTCCCTACTGCCTTACATATGATTAATATATGTTGGCTGAATTGATATATAAATTAGAGTTGAGTAGTAAGGTAAAATCACAGGCATGGAGAGAAAATTGGTGGGACTGAAAATAACTGTGTCAGTGTCTCACATGTTTAACAAAAACTACTGTGTAATAACAGCTTACCAGTGGAGAATCAGGTAGGGTGGCAGTGGCACATGACTTTAATCCTGGTACTCCGGAGGCAGAGGCAAGCAGATTTCTGTGAGTTCAAAGCCAGCCTGATCTACAAAGCTAGTTCCAGGACAGCTAGTGCTGTTACACAAAGAGACCCTGTCTCAAAAAAAAAAAAAAAAAATCAGAAGTTGTGGGGCATCATTGCCCAATGAACTTTCACTTAACTAAATGGAAAAAAAAAACAAATAATGGGCCATAATATAACCTAAGCTTATATTGACAATACAGCATCACTAACACCTCAAAGAGGTTGAAGAGAAGGTTGAGGCGCTGCCATCCTGAGTGTGTTTTGGTTGGTTGGTTGGTTGGTTGGTTTTTTTGTTTTTTTTTTTGTTTGTTTGTTTGTTTGTTTTGTTTTGTTTTTTTGGTGGGGGAGGTTGGTTGGTTGGTTGGTCTGGGTTATTGGTTAGTTTTTCAAGACAAGGGTTTCACTGTATAGCCCTGGCTGCCCTGGAACTTTCTGTAGACCAGGCTGCTTCTGCCTCCCTCAAAGTCATGTGCCCCCACTGCCACCACCATCCAGCTGTGTTTTCTTAATGAAATTGTCACTTTCTTTTTTTCCTGACAATAATTACCTTGACTTCATTAGTATTCACAACATACTGGTTAAAAAAAATACAAAGATGATGCTCATTCCTCAGTTATGTTAGCCATAGCAATTGTATTTACTAGTTGGTTTTTGATGTTGCTTAATGCCTTGCATAATGCTTCTCTCTGCTGGGATGAGTGTTGTGTGGTACAGGCCATAGGGCAGTGCTTTGTGTTTCCTGCCTTTGTGTGTTTTGTGTAAATAATATAAAGTCTTCCACTGATACACAGAGGCAAGTAAGGCTCCTATAAAAAAAAAAAATAGAACAATAGTACAGAATCCTGTCTTTGTGTGGTTTTCCCTCATTTTAAAGTTGTCTAGCCCATAAGCAATTCAACAGATTTGCACAAGTATTTCCTACAACTTTTTATTAGGAACATTGCTAAATAGTTTTTTTTTAAGTTTAGAAATCATAAAATCAGCTGATCAGTTAATATTTTGTCATATTGAAAAGTAACTTAAAGACATTTCACCTCTAAATACATCTCATAAAAGTAAGTTATTCACATAACTATATTACCTCAAAGAAAATGGGCCGTCCTTTCTAACATCTAAATACCTGATCCATTTTTTTATTTCCCGCATTGAGCCAGTGAGTTTCTGCACACCCTTTATAGGATCTGTTTCCTCCCACTAGAACAGCCCCTCTCATTTTTGTTTTCAGGATGTGTCAATTGTCACATTTGAGATTTAGATAGTTTATGCATGGCTTGCACACTGTTTATGGCATGACAATTGGCTATTGAGGTAAACACCAGATTGTCCCAATATAATTCTTCCTGTTATGGTTAACCATCTGTGGACTGACACTTGAGCAATTATTAACCAATAATTTTGTACTTAGTCATATTGTTATCTAACAGTAATCCTTGCCTGGGTCAATCTTTTCATTAAGGTCTGCAAAACAAGAGATTTTCTATTGCTCTTTCCACATTTGCTGAGCAGTATTCTATAAGGAAGAATTTTCCCTCATTAGCTGAAAATGCATTAGAAGCAAAATAATGCTAGCTCTTTTCCACTAATTAACCAGTTTAGAAGTTTCTTGTGTTATCTACAGTGATGACAGATGAGTCAATGTGTTAGTCAATTACAGTCACTGTTTCTGTCAACCCTTCTGGTATTGTCTCTCTAGTCTCTGGGTGCTTTATTGCCTTCTAACACATGATATCTCAAGTTCATTCCTACATTTCCAAAATTGCCCCATACCCAGATGGAAACAGCTCTCCTGAAACCCCTGGCTCCTTTTATAATTAGCTATTTAGAAACAAGATCTGGGCACTAACACACACTCATTGCATTAGCAAATGTTTACAACCAACTTTATAAAGAAGAAATCCTCTCCATTCATTTTGTGTGTGTGTGTGTGTGTGTGTGTGTGTGTGTGTGTGTGTGTGTGTGTATACATATATATATATTGCACTTTTACAGTGGGTAACTTGGGAACAAACCACCAGGTCTTATAACCATCAAAGAAAATTGAACTGAAAGGTACAATTACAACCACAGAAGGTCTGGTGCAAGGTCATCAGCCGTTTGGAGGAATGGAGTTTGTCAGTTAATCTGGCAGTGGGTTAAATGCAGGGCATTTATGAAACCAAGCAGGTTTTATTTGGGATGCTGATTGAACCCAGGGCCTCACAGGTTAAACTAATGCTTTACTACTAAGCTACACCACCAGATCCCTACCATATTTCTTTTGTGTGTATGATGTATGCATGTACATGTATGTGATGCACTTGTGTATATGTTCTTATGTACATGTGTGTGTGTAGACCAAAGGTCAGTGTTGGATGTTCTCAATCGTTCTTATTTTTTTAATCTACTCTTTTATTTTATGTGTACGGGTGTTTTGCTTGCATGTACATCTGTGCACTGTATGCATGCAGCCCCTGCTGCAGCTAGAAGAGAGCATCAGATTCCCCCTGATCGGGAGTTACAGATGATTGTCAATCACTATGTGGGTTCTGGGAATCGAACCCTGGTCCTCTAGTAGAGCAACCAGTGCTCTCTTAATCACCAAGCCATTTCTCCTGCCCTCCACCTTACTTTTTGAGACTGGGTCTTTTCACTGAAGCTGAACCTCACAGATTCCACCAGACTGGCAGAACAGCAAGGTGTCACCTGTCTGTGACACCTCAGTGCCAGGTTGCACATCTGGCTGTTACATGTGTGCCAAAGATGTGAGCTCAGGTCCTCATGGCTGCACAACAGACACTCCACCAGCAGCCATCATCCCCGCCCCTGCATCATATTTCTTACGCTAGTTCTCTGAGGATCTGTTGAATGCAAATATAAGCAGTGCTTTGTCTGTTTCAGGCAGGGTCTCACTGTATAGCCAGCCTGGAACTCATTATCCTCCTGTTTCAGCCTCCATAGTGCTGAAACCATCACTGTGTACCAACAACCGGGCTTAGCAATACTTTTGGTCTTGTTTGACTGAGTTTTAGTACTGAAACCTTTAAGGTGTAATGATTCACTTTTGCTTGCTCTTGTGGCCACTCATGTTTAAGTCTATAAACAGAATTTGCATC